TTCTATGTCAATGGCAAATGAACCAGAAATAATCAACATCTTCCGTTGTTGCTGAGGATGTCAATCACACTCAACCGCGATATCCACGACGAGAACATCGAAGGCCTCAGAGACTGATTGAACAGTGTTAAATATGTCATATTGTACATTTATCTGATTTGTTTTAGAGTTTGAAAGACTGTAATTGATTATTTTTGAATAATTGATAATATTGCAATCTCAGATTTCTGTTAACAGGGGAAAAGTGTTATGTCCATTATACCGGAAATCCGGAGTTTGTATCTTATTGGGTTCATCATTAAGATCTAACGCATGCTTTCCGTTTTGTATCATTTGGCCAGTAGCCATGATGTTTGTAGACTGAATAAATCATAGTCAGTAACTTAATGTTGTGTGTGAACGAACCCTTATGAATGGAGTGATAAACATTACAGAGACTTAACTCAAAACATGTGTTCCGTCTATCGCACCAATAATATTTGGAAATCTACTCATTCTTGAGAAATGAAACAAAGCATTTGTAATTGCACTCTCATCATCTAGCATTGTTAAGTGTTAGACTGCTTTTACTAAGGATTCAGACACATCCCTATCAAAGCTTGGTATGCTTTCTTAAACCGTGAAAGTCGGCAGTAACCGTTTGGAAACTTCCCGTGGCTAAAAATAGTAATGCGGCCATGGCTTGAAGGGATGGTGGGATTGAGTGTGATTTCTTGTAGGCCTTTGATATCGTTTCTGATCCCCCGCAGGTATCATGAATCAAAAGGCGAAGGAATCTTATTTTGAGATAATCTTCTGATCATCCATACAATCAACTGTATTATTTCTGTCTCGAGCAATTCCTTCTCGTCGAAAGAGAGTCCAATGATTTCTAATAAAATAAGCAGCCGCCATATTTAGTTGTTCTTCAGCCATCAATTTACCTCTCCTAAACTTAAGATAAAGCTTAAGAATTTCATAGATTTGATCAGATTGGTAAAACGGATAAGAAATGAACTCAGCAATAAGTTCTTTCGTAAGATATAACTTAGTCCTAAGTAGTCTTTGTGAAGCGGGCTCCCAGATTAAGTACTTCGCAAATAAGCTGTCTTGCTAGGGATTTGTTGTGGGACATTCTCACTGTCAAACCATCAGACGATATTACATGAAGGTCTAGTGAATACACTATCCATGTTAGTTTTGTCATAGGAAATTACCTTGTAGTATGTACAGGATTCCTAAAATGAATACTGCGTACGGATACCTGTTCACTGGGTTAAAAACTAGATTTTTGTAGATGTTCATTTATTTTTACAAAAGATATTTTTGCGAATGCAATGCAAACATTTTGCCAAAAATTACCTACAGTAAAAGTTTTCAGATTTACGGTACATTTATCGAACTAAATTGCGCTGCTCTATGCATATTTGATCTTGATGTTTTAAACTCAACATAGGCTGACCCTCTGTCTCTTGGTTAGGGCAATGCTAGAAAGACAATGACTTAGAAAAAAATTTCAATTTACTATTAAAAAAAACTTGACTGCACAAGAGGTCCAAACCTAGCTCTCAAAATGGGGGGGGGGGGGGTACTATAATTTGAACAAAATTCAATTTACACTAACTATGGATGCTTACATATTTTTTTTCACAAATTGTGTTTTTTTTTCCTCCAAGTTTGTACTGTCATTTTTTTTTATTGAGAAGAAGATTTTCCTATACATGCACACGCCTGTGTGAAACTTGGATTGTATATTGTGGCCCCACCCTATCCCTGGGGATCAGAATTTGAACAAACCTGATTCTCTGTGTCAAGTTTGGATGAGAAAATGAAACTGTGAAAAGTTTTCATTGACAGACAACAGTCAATTTTTGATCAGAAAAGCTCACTTGGGCCTGAAGTTAAGTTGAGCTAAAAATCATTTGTTTAGCAATTACCTTGGACAGGAGCCTCAATGTTGAAAGTTTGATCAGAACTGGCTATTAGTGAAAATCCAGTGGATTGATCAGCACACATCAAAAGTGGTGAAGCTACAATATTTATGATACTGTTAGAATATGTAATCTGAAATTGAAAAAAGACCAATAAAGAAAAGAGAAACAATTCTAATATAATGTTCAAACTGCAGATTTTACTGTGTTCCTGGCATATTTATTTTTTTACTAATTCCACAACAAAAGATCTCCCAAACCTGTTTTTATAGCCCTTCTGTGCCTGAAATTTTGTGTTAAAACAGGTTTCTCACATCCATAAAGTCATGTTGTTCAGGCAACCTTTTGGGCTTTTTGATTACATCATATAACCATTGACCAACTCGATTTAGATTCCGATGCAACATGTTCAGTTTGTTAACCAGTTATTAGTGATCTGCTACGCATGATAGAAAAGTATCTCTTACATTCCTTCATCAGTTGACACTTCAACTTCTTTTTGGAGTGCTTTGTCCGTTGACTCACAAGCCAACCTCTCCAATGTAGAGCCAACTTCCTCACATCTCATTTGTATTGTCTTGGATGCAGGCAGTGGTAGATTTAACACGGATAAAAAGTTGTTAAGCTGAGATAAGCCTCCAGTATGGTACATTTCTGTTAAAAAAAACAACTTTCTTGTGGTATTTGTATTAATTTAAAATTTACTTTATTTACATAAATTTCCTTATTGCTTTTTATTATTTAGAAGAAAGAAAATAATACAGGGTACCATCATATTTGTTGAAAGTGAAATTCACAAACTTGCAATTGAATTGAAATTCATTTTTTTCATCTTAATTTTTAACCTATATTGTGTGAACAATGCAGATAGAAAATAACCAAAAGCATGAGATAATTGGATTGATCAATTTAGATACATGTATTGTACACAAGGTTTTATTTTTGTCACATTACCTGTTGCTAGCTTGGTGTTTACATCAAAATCTTTGGCACTGTGTTGTTGTCTCCTTTCCCACTGTCTTGTTCATCGACACACATAAACTCTGAACATGACCAGCATTTGACTATAAATGGCCACCAACTCCCCCCACTGCATCCCCCAACAAAACATTTTTTGCGCAAACTGTACATTTCATATTTTTGTAAATCTATAACAAAACGTGACAAGTTCAACGGTTTCAATTTGCTTTAAAAAAAAGTTCATTTACATCATCAAATGCATCTTGAGATAGTTTCCCAACGTCGGGAGGCTGTACAGTGCTCTGATAAGAATGGTCAAGGTATAAAACGCTGCCAGCAGCTGGTGTAAAAGAATCATTTTACAAAAAAATGGATTTCTGTAAATTACTTATTCGTTTCCTACGATGTTCCGTCATCGACTTCTTTGTGAAACGCCCCCATGTCATCTCGAGTACGATTCATACTCGAAATTTTATCGTCTTGGTCGTTCACAGTCTTCTGCTAGGAACGTCAATACCGCAAACTGGTCGAGCTGTTTTATGTCGCAATATACATTAAGCGATAAAATTCAAATTTATGACTTGCATGTAATATTTATCACTATAATGTTAATTCGGGATTAAGAAAAATAAAGACGAAACACTGGTAACACCTCACACGAACGAGTACATGGAAATGCAAAGTTGCGCGAAAACATGCGTAAAGAGCGAAAACTCGAAATAGACTCGGCCTTGTTAAGCTGCATGATAAGTGACATCAAGATTGTGTACACTTCTAAATACACTGAAAATACAGCAACACTCTTCATGGACGAACATTGATAATCGTTGTTTTATAGATTGTAGGACTGGCGCTTAAACTTGTAATCAGAACTTTTGAAAATAAAAATATACGTCTCGTCTATAACTATTATCTTCATTGTCACAAAATAGTTCTTGCAATAGGAGTTGTGTGCTTAATTAAATGGTGCACTTGATTCAAAGTTCTGAATGTTTCTGTCACAATTCCATCGAATCAAGTCGTACCGAACTACGTTCGGGACAGAGTTTTGTCTGCATCAGAACTCGAGGTGGTGCACGCAGGACAGAAGCATTTCCAAGATGGCGAATAGTGATGCATTTTATGACACGGGTTGGAAAGAAATACATATGTTCCCAGTGCCAAGACTGTGAATTAATGTTTGATGACATGGAAGAATTTGTTAGACATCCCTGTCGAAATGATGTTTAATTTGTGCTTTCGCAGACTTTAATGACGTTTTACATCTGACCTCATCGTGACGTGAATGGAATACCGGTGGCCGAAGAAAACGTTTGTGAATTTTACGTAGGGGAAACCTGTGAATTTGTCGTGAACTTTTTAAGACAGATTGCTAAATGAAGATACTGAACATGGGTAGGCTATATAAGATATGCTTTTTCCATAATTGTTATAAAACAAAGCTACATGTACTGCATGCTTTGCTTGTGCCCCCTCAGTAAAAGTGTCTGATAGACCTCTTTTTTTGCTTGTTAGGAACTATTGGTAATTTATAATGCCCCCCCCCCAAGAAAAACTGAAATCGCTTCCTACGGGCCTAAGATTAGCTTTCAGAACTGCACTTATGTACAACTTGAATTCTACAATGAAATTTAGCTGCTTCATTTTTTACCTTTAATTTACCTTTTCAAAAAAAGTTTTTTAGAAAATGTTTTATTTTAGATGGGCACTTTCTTCTTATTTCTAAGTCAGCTGCTTATTATATTTAGTTTCTTAGCTCTACTGGTACGAGACCAGAAGAGCTTCTGCGATAGTAATGCGTCCGGCGTCCGGCCGTCTAGCTGTCCTTCCTGTTGATGAAATGCTGTATACTATATTTGGAACGGGTTCGGAATTCGGGTCGGGTTCGGTGTATGAATTATTATGTTGTATGTGTATTGAAGAAACGCATGTTGTTGATCGTCACAGCTATTAATTATTCGTCCAGATAGCACGAATTAACATGGCGGCAGCGATGTGTGGACTCTGAAAACGTCTCAATGCTCCATATCGGCATTCTTAAGGTGACTTTGAACATTACAAACTGATATTTGTACGAGTAAAGTTTGACTTTTTGTGTAACCACGTGCATCCGCCATTTGCATATATAACATGGGCGAAGCAGAACCAACCCCAGTGCAGGTATATAACTGTCCTTTTCGATTACCGCCTGAGTTAGAATTAACAACAGGAAATGTGTCAGAAAATTAAAAGAAATGGAGAAGACAGGTCGAGGTGTATCTCGCAGCTTCCGGTGGCTTAGAGAAGGCCAAAGAAGTGCAGGTAGCTCAGTTGTGGAGGCCCCCACGTGGTAGAAATTTATGACCAATTCAAGTGGGACAATGTTAATGATGAGAATGACCCTGAAAAACTGTTTGAGAAATTACAATCTTATTGTAACCCCAGATCAAATGAGGTACTTGAATCACACAGATTTTGGAAGCTCCCATACCAAGATCCATTTGATAGTTTTCTCACAGATCTGAAGACCCGTGCAGCATCTTGCAACTTTAAAGAACCTGAAAGAATGATGAGAGACAAAATAGTGTTCACGGTCACTGGAAAGTTACAGGAACTTCTACTCAGGGAGGACAAACTCACACTCGACAGAACTATACAAGTATGTAGGGCGTATGAACAATCAAATAGACAAGTGAAGGAACTACGAGAAACCACTCTGAAAGTGAACAAGCTACAGAAATCTGACAAGTACACACACAGTAAACAGAAGACAGAGAAAAAGAAGGAAATTCCAAAGACTAAACAAACTCTGTATAAGAAGAAAGACTGTGAATTCTGTGGGTACAAACACGAACCAGGAAAACAAAAGTGTCCAGCATGGGGAAAGTGTTGTGAACAGTGTGGTGGAAGGAATCATTTCAAAGCAAAGTGCAAGAAGATACATTCAGTCAGTCAGGAAGAAGAATTCAATGAGGATCAATGGTTGAAAGCTGTAAGTTCTGGTGGCAAAGAAGTGACTGCAATAATGCGCATCAATGAGTGTGACATTAGATTTCAACTCGATAGTGCCGCAGATGTGAATACGATTTCTCAGCGTTATGTCCGCAAGCAGCAATGCAAGCCTACCAAAATCCGCTTGAACATGTGGAACAAGACAAACATGAAACCGCTTGGTGAGGCAGATCTGACAGTCATCAATCCACGTACAAATGGAAGCACCAACTCAGATTCATTGTCGTTCCAAATCATTTTACATGTTTACTTGGACTTGAAGCGGTGCAGAAATTGAAGTTGATTACCATAAATGACGAGAGATTCATAGCCAGTGTGTCAAGCAGTGACTTAGCTGATTTGGGAACAGCGCATCTACATGTCGACCCAAATGTGAAACCCAAAGCTCTTCCCTGCAGGAAGATCCCTATCGCACTCCAGAGTTTGGTACGTGATGAACTTCAGAAGCTTGAAGATAGAGGAGTACTTATTCCGATTACAGAGCCTACTCCATGGGTCAGCCAGATGGCTATTGCTCGGAAAGCCAACGGCAAGCTACGATTGTGTATTGACCCACAAGCACTCAACACAGCGTTGATGAGAGAACATTATCGCTTACCTGTTCTCGATGACATTCTACCGCAGCTCAGTAAGGCCAGAACCTTCACAAAACTTGATGTCAAGGAGGCTTTTTGGCATGTGAAGTTGGACGAAGAATCCAGCAGATTAACGACAATGATAACTCCCTTTGGAAGGTACAGATGGGCAAGACTGCCTTTCGGACTAAAGGTTTCAAGTGAAATATTCCAGAGGAAACTGGACGAGGTGTTCGGAAACATGACAGGTGTTTTCAGTGTGGTGGATGATATCATCATAGCAGGCTGTGGAGAAAATGACAGAGAAGCCGAGCAAGACCATGATTTAAAATTGAGAAAAGTGTTGGAGAGATGTGAGGAGAGACACATCATCTTGAATAAAGAAAAACAAGAGATTGGACTCAAAGAAATCTCATTTCATGGACATGTTATTTCCAGAGATGGAGTGAAAATTGATGACAAGAAAGTAAAAGCCATCAATGACATGCAACCTCCTACTGATGTTTCAGGAATCAAGAGACTGTGTGGCATGGTCCAGTACATGGCAAAGTTTCTTCCAGACCTTTCTACCATAATGGAGCCGCTCAGAGAACTCACTCGCAAAGATAAGGCATGGCATTGGTCTAAAGACTGTGAAGCAGCATTTCAGAGGATCAAGAAGATGCTGACAGAAACTCCTGTACTAGCGTACTTTGACCCTGGAAAGGAAGTAGTAGTACAAGTGGACAGTAGTAAAGACGGCATTGGTGCAGTTCTCCTGCAGGAAGGTAGACCGGTGGAGTATGCATCTAGATCACTGACAGTGTCCGAGAGAAACTGGGCGCAGATCGAGAAAGAAGCGTTGTCTGTGTTATACGGTCTGGAACGTTTTGACCAATATACATATGGCCGTAATGTGACGATACAGAATGACCATAAACCATTGGAGGCCATCCTGAAGAAACCTCTAGCAATGGCACCGAAGCGACTACAGGACATCATGATGAGATGGAACCGGTACGATTTTGACTTCGTATATGTCAAGGGAACTAACCTAACAATTGCAGATACATTGAGTCGCGCATATCTGAAGAGTGAGGAGTGTAATTTTAGTGAGAGACTTAGAATCATGGCATTGAAGAGTGATGAACCATGTGACATTCCTGATGCTCGCCTTAGTGAAATAAAAGAAGCAACAGAGATTGACGAGGAAATGCAAATTCTCAAGGAAACTGTGATGAACGGGTGGCCGGAGCAGAAACAAGAAACGCCACAGAGAATTCGCCATTACTTTGACTTTAGAGACACTATATCATACAGTGATGGACTTCTGCTCAAAGGTGAAGCCGTAATTATCCCTAAATCTTTGAGGAGTGAAATGAAGGCCAGACTTCACAAGGCTCATTTTGGATATGATAGCATGCTGAGAAGGGCAAGAGGAACAATATTTTGGCCTGGAATGAATTCAGATATCAAGCAGTTGGCTGATTGTTGTTCAATATGTCAAGAAAGAAAACCCATGAACCAAAATGCTCCATTGATGCAGCATGCAGAAGGATCTACTCCATGGCAGAAAATAGGACTTGACCTGTTTGAGCTGAATGGAAAGCATTATTTGATTGCAGTTGACTATTTCTCTAGTTTCATCGAAATCGATTTACTCACATCTTTGACAAGCTCCAGAATAATAGCCTTACTCAAGAAACAATTTGCTCGATTTGGAGTTCCAAATGTAATCATGTCTGATGGAGGACCACAGTTCGTAAGCCAAGAATTCCAAGATTTTGCGAAGAAGTGGGGTATCACTCACATGACATCGCCGATGCATCAACAAGCCAATGGCAAGGCCGAGTCAGCTGTTAAAATCATGAAGACATTGTTAAGGAAATGTGAAGTTGAGAAGACTGATCCTTATGAAGCAATTCTCGAGCAAAGAAATACACCAAAACAGGATACTGGTATTAGTCCTGCAGAAATTATGTTTAACAGGAAAGTGCGTGGCATGATTCCACATTTTCCACAGAAACTCGAGAAACCAGAAACTGATGCATTCATCAGGAAGAGGAATCAACGCAGACAGACAGTAAAGAAATCGTTTGACAGGAAGTCTCGCGAGCAGAGTGAATTGGACGTTGGTCAAGCAGTATTCTTCCAGCATCTAGATGGACGCAACTGGAGACTCGGGGAAATCAATGGTATTCTCGGACCAAGGACATACATTGTCAAGGACCAGAATGGAACCACTTATCGTAGAAACAGAATTCATGTGCGACCTACCGCAGTCAATTTCTACAGTCGTGACCGCTCACCGATGCGTTCAGTCCCAGTTGATAATTCAGACGGCATACAGAGAAACTTTGTAACAGATCCTAAGCTAGTGAACAATCCTGGTTAATGGACTTTGTATTATGAAATTAAGTCATTTAGTCGTTTGATTTTCTAGTCATTTTGTACATGTAAATTGCAATTGATCATTTTGTGTCTATAGTTCAGATACTTACCATTTCAGTGACTGACAGTTTGTGCTAGATAAGTGCATTATTCATTTTATATGTGTAAAATGATGAAAGTCTATTTTGTTTATGAAATTTGATGTTTTGATGAAATTTTGTCAAATTTTCTAAAGAAAAGGGGATGTTGATGAAATGCTGTATACTATATTTGGAACGGGTTCGGAATTCGGGTCGGGTTCGGTGTATGAATTATTATGTTGTATGTGTATTGAAGAAACGCATGTTGTTGATCGTCACAGCTATTAATTATTCGTCCAGATAGCACGAATTAACACTTCCGTCTGTCTGTCTGTCTGTAAACAATTTTTAGGTCACCTGAGTAAACTCAGGTGACCTATTGCTATCCGTTTTCGGATCCACCTTAAAACATGAACCAAATTCTATTATTTGAAAGTTGTTGCATGATTCTCAGGTGACCTATGAGGCCCATGGGCCTCTTGTTCAAAGTGCGACTCCTCCTAAAGTTTTGGTCTGATTTCAATATAACTTGGCACACAAATAGACTTAACTAAGGTACATAATTCTATGTATCGGTTTTTTAATTTCGATGAACGAAGTTGCCGTGGTTACTAAAAATAGAAATTTCCGTGAAATTCTTTCAAAATGCTACACCTCCTCCAATTTTAGTCGGATTTCAATATCACCCCTACTAATGTGTTCGGATGATATTCTTTATTGCTGTTAAGTGTAGCGTAACATCCGAGTGGTCGATTTGACCTCTAACGAGACCAGCCTCGAGACCGTGCGAGATCTGCACCAGTTCCTGTAAGATTTTGACAGGAAGTAGATGTGTGTTTTGGGATTTATGCATTTAATGTAAGTAAAGCTCATTTTATTTGCCTTCATTCACTTGAACATTTTTTGCACATAAATTTTGATTCAATTAGTCTTTATTTATCGAATTTTATCACCTCAAACACATGAAACGAGAAACATTAAATCATGTAAATTTAGAGTTATCGTCCTTTGTTTACATGCCTCCACGTGGTTGGAAAAATAAACATCTTTTGGTGCTATAAAAATATATAGGGGTTGTCAATGCTTTTAAATTATTATAATAAATTATTTATGTTGTTCTTGGTGTTGTGAAATATTTTACCCCAGTGTTAAAAGAAGTGAAGATGATTCAATGTGCAGAAAATGATATAGTCTGTTTTACTTCTAACAATAGCAAATACACAATTTCTCAGTTACTTACATGTAATATATATGTAATAAACGTGTGAAGAAGTGCTTAATTAAATGAATATAGAATGAATGTGACATTCAAAAGATTAGAAATGGTAAATGACATTGTAAACAACCCTCAAGTGATCAGCTGGTGATTATTATTCAGGCGCGGATCTAGAAATTTTTCAAGGTGGGGGGGGGTGAAGAGGAATAGTTTATATAACTTACGTTTTACATAAACATGTACATGTAGTCAAATTACGCAAACTGGAGTATGGTTTTTAAAAATGGTAGGTTGATCAACCTGTGAAAAAAATAATTGTACCTATAGATTACCTGAAATTTTTTGAAAGAGTGAAAAAAAAATCTCTGAACCTTTAAATCCTATTATGTAAAGAAGTAGGGTTTCATTTTGTTATCACAACCAAATTTCTTTATATATTACAACATTAGCCTTTCAATGAACATTTTTCTATAATAAGAACACAATACACTATAGAAATTTGGGTCTTATTCTTTCTCTCTCTTATTTTGCAAATCAAAAGGGGGTAGGGAGTGCAGCGGGAGCCAGTCCAAACGCCCCCTAATAAAAACATCCCGGTCAAAGTGTCCCCTAATTTTAGTCAAAGCGTCCCCTGATTTTAGTCAAAGCCCCCCCTAACATATTTTTATGGAAAAAATACTGCCACCAAATATTACTTTAAGATTATTTAAATTCCCTTGATCACAATCTTAGATGACATACAGACACTCAAACTGTAAAGCACTGAGTACTGAGCACATGAATGGTACTAGTAAGTAATTTGATTGATTCATTATCATGCCTGGAGTGATTGTAATATTTCAAAAAGTCTGTCAAATGCTTAAAAACATAATTATTTTACACTCATGATGGTGGTTGTCAGTGTCCCTTATGCAAAAAATATAATTGCTTTAATAAATTCTCATAATTTTTATGATATTTTAGATTTTAATGACTAAAATGATTGATCATTATTGAAATAAAATATCTCTTACAGACACGATGTAAAAGGCTAATTTATCTTCATCTTAAACATAGGATATGGAGATAACGAACAGTATTTAATATCAAAGTCCATAAAACGATACAAAATAGGAGCAGAGCCAACACAGACCTCCGAAACATCAGAGGTGGGATCAGGTGCCATGGAGGAGGAGCATCCCCTGCGGACCGGTCACACCCGCTGTAAGCTCCTTGTCATGTCTTATCACCTGTTGTCTGGCCCAGAAAAACTGAAATTTATGTGGAAGCATCCTAGGGTAGAGTATATTGTAAATTGTTCAAATCATAACCCCCGGGGGTAGGACTGGGCCACAATAGGGAATCAAAATTTTACATAGAAATATGAAGGAAAAAACTTTAAAAATCTTCTTCTCAATTAAGAACCACTGGGCCAGAAAAGCTGAAACTTATATGGAAGCATCCTAGGGTAGTGTAGATTCTAAATTGTTCAAATCATGACGTCCAGGGGTAGGGCGAGGCCACAATAGGGAACACAAGTTTTAAATTGAAAGATATAGGAAAATACTTTAAAAATCTTCTTCACAGGAACTACTGGGCCAGAAAAGCTGAAACTTATGTTCACTGTTCAGGTACCATTAGTGCTGTTGTGTCAGAAATTATTGAGGCATCATGTATCTGTGAAGATGAAGTTGTAGATCAGCCAAAAGACAATCCTGAAGTTGAAGTAGATGACTCTGATTATGACTCTAATTTTTCTGATTTGAATGAAGATTCTGATTCAGAAAGTGAATATATTGAATGATTCAAATTCAAATATGCAAGCAATTGTGAATAAAATCAAAAACTCTTATTTTATTGTATGTTTCAATTTCAGATTAATCATTTAAAGGGTCTGGGTGGTTGTGGCCATTCTCATACTATTTTGATCATCTTTAGAAGAAGAGTTCCACGATATAGAAAAATGATCATAGTTTAAAACTTAAATTTATAAAATTTTTCTTTGCCAAATGATAGTTGAGAGATTGAGATATCATATCTAGGAAATGATGGTTAATTTGTTGACCCCCAGCCTCCTTAAGCAATAAAAAGTACATAGTCTGAACTCATTACTTATAATATTAATATTTAGTCTTATGTGGAAGCATCCATGGGTAGTGTAGATTTTGATTTTCCAAATTATGACCAATGTGGTAGGGTTGGGTCACAATATGTATTACAGTGGGGGAATGTGGTAAAGAACAGCATGGTCAAACCTACTCAGGTGAGCAATGTGGCCCATGGGCCTCTTGTTTAGTACAGTTAAGTGTACACATGTATATTGAGGATATTCAATGATTTGTAGTTGAATATGGAAATTATTTCATGTATGGGACAGGATATTTTGTCTCATTAGTTAAATAAATTCCATATTATTTAAATACGAAACATTGAATTTTCTGTTTATTACATTTTCTTTGATTTTCCCTTTGCCTACGTCTTTTTTGTAATGTAGTCATATGCTACATGACATCATAGTTGAGCGGTCTATAAGTCAGCTTAAAGTGAAAAACATTGTAAACATAAATTTCAGCAATTAACATATTTGGGGAATGTTCGCAGTCTTACCTCTGTCAGTATGGTTTATTAAGTTGTTCTTAATCTTATAAGAGGCCAAGGAATATTTTTTACAACATTCCTTGTAATGGGAAGGAAAATCTCGAGTTTTCTCGCACTTCTGGTATTTTTCACACTGTGAAGGTATATCATTTTGATAACCTTTCACACTGTGAAAGAATATCATTTTATTAAATGAATAAATTACAGTATTTCACTGTTTAAAATGTAAAATGTAATAAATTGGTTTATCTAATGTACATCTCAAAATTCTCAAAACACAAATGAATTTTTTAGCTGCAAGTGCGTTCTGTTACTTCATGGCTTTTTAATTCAGAAAAATACAAAATTCAGTCCTGAAGACAATATTCATTGATAAATGTCTTACACATGACCTTCTTAACTTCCTTTAAATCAAAGAATGGAAATTAACATTATAATACACACTATTTCAAATGCCTTAATATTTCACTCTATTTATAGGTGTTTTTGACAAAGAAGGTTTAAAACCTTTGTGGACGTGGGTTTTGAAACTTCTTAAAACTCTGGAAGGATGAGGAAAAGGAATTTAAACCATTGAAATGGAACATGTCGCACAAGGTTATCATGGTAATATTGTTGATTTTGAACATGCATGCCAAAATTTGGTATGATATTGCATATTACAGTGTATATTAAGAAAAGTTCAACACATGCATTCATTCATGTATTTAAAGTATGCCCTTTGTCCACAAAGAAATTTTAAAATCTTTTTATGAGGCTGATTGTATGAAATGATAGATAAATCGGCAGAATGCTTCACTTTTTTCTTATTTATTTAATTCAAAAATGAACATATAAAAATGTACATGTCACATTGGGGAAGATGTTCAGTATTTTTAAATTATATATTGGAATTTGTATCTCAAATGGGAGGATGGCTTTTCAAAGAAGATTTAGGTTTTGATGGAGATCAGCGATTTTCTTCAAGAATGATGCATTTGATATTACTATTAACAAATTTGAACAACTCCTAATATCCAGAACTTACAAATACCTGTACATTGTACTTTTGAAAACTGATACTTGTTAGGTACATTCATATTTTTCCCAAACCAATTGAAGGCAAAATATTTTCATGAGAATGGTTAGACT